GTCTTCAAGCTCACTAATTCTTTCTTCTGCTTGATCAGTTCTGCTATGAAGAAACTGATGCATTTTCAGTATATCAGTTGCACTTTTCAACACCAGAATTTCTGCTTCTTTTTAATTAATTTAATCGATTTCTTAAATTTATCTGATAGAATTTAGAATTTTTTCTTTGTGTTATCTTGAATTTATTTGAGTTTCCTCAAAACAACTATTTAAAATTCTCTGTCTGAGAGGTCACATATCTCTTTTTCTCCAGGATTGCTCCCTAGTGATGACTTATTTAGTTAATTTAGTGAGCTTATGCGTTCCAGGATCATCTTGATGCTTGTGGATGGTCAATGCTCTGGGCACTAATGAATCAAGTATTTATAGTAGTCTTCCCAATATGGGCTTGTTTGTGCCTGTCCTTCTTGAGAAGGCTTTCCAGATATTCAAAAGGACTTGGGCCTGAAGCCCAATAATGCTGAGGTTTTTACAGATTCATAGAGATACCACCTTGGTGACTTGAATAAGAAATGGGAACATTCTCTATTACCAGGAAGAGACATTTGTTCTCTTCCCTTAGTTTCTCTCAAATAAATGGAGTCTCTCTTTGTACTGAGCCACCTGGAGCTGGGAGCGTGGCATTGCAAGCACCCCTGTGGTCACCACCACTGGAACCATGCTGAGTTTGACCTGAAGCCAGCATCAGCGCTGAGTCTCACCCAAAGCCATCTGTAACCACTACCTGGCTAACACCTGTGTTCACTCAAGGCCCTACAGCTCTGCAATAGGTAAGTAGCAAAGCCAGTCAGGTTCGGGTCGTTTCCTTCCAGTGGTGGGTTCTCCCAGGTTCCAGACAGGCCCAGAGATGCTGTCTGAGAGAGAGAAATTGGAGTCAAAATCTTAAAAATTTACCTGATGTTCTAGTCTTCTGTAGCAAAGCTGGCACTCAAACCATAAGACAAAATCCTTTCCACTATTCCCTCCTCTTTCCTCAGTCAGAGGAAATGCATGCACCACCACTCCCAGCTAATTTTTGTATTTTTGGTAGAGTTGGGGTTTCACCATGTTGGCCAGGATGGTCTCGATCTCTTGACCTTGTCTTCTGCCCATCTCGGCCTCACAGTGTTGGGATTACAGGTGTGAGCCACTGTGGCCAGCTGGCACAAGGGTCCTTTAGTCAGCAGGTGATGTCCTGCCAAAACTGGGTCTTTTCCTTTAGGGCAGAAGGATCCCTTTTGGCCCAGGCTGTGTCTAGCAATGTCATCCAGGAGCTAGGATCTGGAATGGGGGGCCTCACAACTCCACCCTGTGCCCTATCCTGCCGTGGCTGGGCTGGTATCCAAGATGCACGATAAAGTCCTCTTTACTGTTTAATCTCTCCTCAAGCAAAAGGAAGGGGTCATTTTTGTTGCTGTGAGCTACACTGCCTGGGGTTGGGGGAGTGATAACACAAGCACCACTCCCTTAACCACCAAGGCTGGTGTCTTCCTAGGTCAGGTATCACCCTAGTCCACCCTAGTCCCAGCCCAGCACTAGGATTCACCTAGGAATTGCAGTCCTTGTGTCCTAGACTGCCTTTCACATTTACGTAGGGCTCCAGAGCACTTTGGCCCATGTTGGTGAGGCTTTTTGAGAAACCCAAGTTTTTTTTTTTTTTTAATTGCGTTTTGGGGTACATGTGAAGAACATGCAAGATTGTTGCATAGGTACACACGTGGCAGTGTAATTTGCTGCCTTCCTCCCCTTCACCTATATCTGGCATTTCTCCCCATGCTATCTCTCCCCAACACCCCACCCCCCTCCGTCCCTCCCCATTTCCCCCCAACAGACCCCAGTGTGTAGTGCTCCCCTCCCTGTGTCCATGTGTTCTCATGGTTCAACGCCCGCCTATGAGTGAGAACATGCAGTGTTTGATTTTCGGCTCTTGTGTCAGTTTGCTGAGAATGATGGAGAAACCCAAGTTTTGACTGCTGGGATGGGCAATTTCTTTCTGGCTATGCCTGGTCCAAATGCTCCCTTGTGCACAGGTGCTGACTGAGCCCAGCCCAGCTTTGCTCTCCACTGTGGCAGGGCAGCACAGAGTTAAATGTAAAAGTCCCCTAGTCACTGTGCTTTCGCTTCTCCAAGTGCACAGATTGCACAGCAGGGCCTCTGTTAGGGAATGGGAAAGGGGTGGCTTCAGCAGTCCAGGACTGTCTCCTACCCTCTTCAATGCCTCTTTCAGGAATACAAAGTTAAAACCAGGTACTGTGAATGTTCACTTGCTTTTTTTGTTCTTCCGTTCGTGCTTTGCTGTGTATAGACTGTTGTTAAAATTTGGCGTTCCTGCAGGGAAAACAAAAGGTGTAGGCTTCCAATCCACCATCTTGCTCCACACCCTCATCCCTTTATTCTACTCCAGAACACTATATTAACCCTCCTGTCACACACCCTAGTCTCCATTCTGTTTGAAGACAGACAAATCTTGACTACATCACATAGAGGTGCAACTTTAGGCCAGAGTATATAGAAGTAGCAGAAAGTAATACAAATTTGAAAATCTCAAATTTTAGAGCATAGAGAAGTCTATTTCAAACTTTGATCAAGTCTTACATTTGTTGATTAAATCTTACTTTTGCTGATTAAATCTTACATTGCCTGAGAAAAGGCAGGTAGTGGGTCTCACTGGCAAAGAAGAGAAAATGGAAAAAAAAGATGAATAGCATTTATACTCTAAGTATACTGGTTTCTTGCATAAAGTACTTAGAATAAGTTAGAATTTTAGTTACTACACCCTAAGTGAATAAATCAATAAATAAATGTACAGTTGAAGAACTGACTGCATGAAAGAAGCAAAAAGAAGAGAACTTTGTTCATTTTTCTTTAACTTCTTTAGCCAGATTTCCTTATCTGCAAAGTGAAACCATAATAAGTGATTTAAATTCTATTTTATCTCAAAAATAAGATTCCTACATTGTTATATTATTCAGTGAATAGAAGGATGGAGAAGCAATTCCTAGTGCAAGGCAGGTACTCAAACTGTAGATTATATCAAAAGGAAATGAAATCAGCACCTCATAGAAATATCTGTGTTCCCACAGTCATTGCAGCATTATTCATACTAGCCAAGATATGGAAACAATCTAGGTGTCCATCAACAGGTGAATGAAGAAAGAAATGATGGCATATATACACAATGAAATATTATACCATTTGTGAAAGCATGGATAAACTTGGAGGACATTATGGTAAGTGAAATAAGCCAGACACAGAAAGACAAATAGATCATGACCTCACTTATATGCAGAATCTAAAAAAAAAAAAAAAAGGAAAAGTGTATAAATAGAGAGTAGAACAGTGGATTACCAGCAGCGGGAAGGACGTGAAAATGGGGAGAAGTAGGTCAAAAGGTTTAAAGCTGTATAGGATGAATAACTCTAGGGGCTTCATGTAAAACATGAGGATAATAGTTAATAATATTGTATTGAATACTGAAAAATTTGCTAAAATAGCAGACTTTAGGTGCACTTGCCACCAGAAAAAAGGTAACTCTGGGAGGTTATGGCTAAGTCAATTTGCTTAACTATGTCTATGTATATTAAAACAGCATATTGTACACCTTAACTATAGTATGATTTAGATATATACTTTTTTTTAAAAGCCTCCATGGCAGGTGAGGGAGAGAAGATGAATGGCGCTATTTGGCAGTGCATTATTGTGTTATGGTTAAAGTCTGGCAGGCTACGTATTTGCTACAACTTTTTAAGATTAGGGCATCTTACAAAAATATTGCCTCGACACAGAATGTTTATTAATAATTAATAATTAAATAATTATTAATAATTATTTAATTATTAATAAATAATTAATATTTATAAATATTAATTTATTTATATTTATTTATATTTATTTATATAAATATAAATATGATATATTTATATAAATTATATATTTATAAAAAATTTATATAAATAAATTTTATTTATATAAAATCACTAAACGCCCGCAGGCCTGGGCGTTTAGTGATTGTTGCTGGGCACGGGGTGGCGCTGGCGCCCACGGCGGCCTGCACCTTCTCCACCAGCCCGGCCCACTGGCGCTGCATGTCTTCCACCAGGGGCTCTTGAGGCGGGCCTGGAAGGCCTCGGCCTGCAGGCGCATCTGCTGGGCCTGCTCCTCCAGCTTGGCGCGCACCTCCTCCACCTGCTCCTTCACCTCGTCCAGGCGGTCGCGGGTCCGGCTGCCCACCTCCTCCATCCGCGCGCGCAGCCGCTTGCCCCAGGCCTGGGCCCGCTCCTGCAGCGGCTGGCTGGCCAGGGAGGAGCCCACGGTGGCGGCCCGCGCGCGGCCCTGCTCCACCAGGGTCCCCAGGCGCTCGCGGATGGCGATTAATATAAAATAAATATTAATAATTAATAATTAAAAATAAACAGAATGTTTATTAATTCAACCTCTGAAATAATGAAGCACATCTGTGAGTATTCATACATAAAATGCTGTCCAAAATAAATTATTTCTTGAAATAAATAAGATACAGAAGACAGACTATAGAACGCTGTCATTTATGCAACATATTGTATTTCCGGAAGGATACAGAAGAAACTGGCAATGGTGACTGCCTTTAAGGATGACAGTGGATAGCCAGGAGAAATGTTGGATGAGAACTTACTTCACGCTGAATTGTCAGAATTTTGTAATTTTGTATAATGTACATATACTGCCTATTTATAAAATATTAAGCATTATTAAAGTGATATAAAACATAATATTCATGAACATATTTTTTAAAACTAAAAATTTATTTACCAGTGGAATTAATATTTTAAATGTTGTGTTATAGTTGATTAACATCTATCTACAGCAGAGCAAGAATACTGGCTGAAATAAGTCAATGGATATGGCATGCGTATTACCTCACCTATTTTGCTGCTATATCCATCTTTGTTTTAAAAATGTAACTGATCTGGTGGCAGGATAGTTATAAATGAAAGATTTTTAACTGAATGATACTCAGTGAGGTTTCTCTGATCTATCCAATATCATGTATACAACAATTTTATTTACAAATCATAGTTCTTTATACTTTACAGACAATATTGACCCAGCAAGCAGTCAGCTGTACACATGGTTTCTTGAGAGGCTATAAGTACTTTTTCAAGAACCATGAGACTACATAAGAACACCATTCAACCATAATACTCTGTTTTTCCTTTGTCTCTGAAGTGTTGGTAACGCTATTAAATTAATGTAATTAATCCCACTTGGAATGCGATGTTTAGTTATTATGAAATGCCTAAGTGCTTACTGAAATGAAAGACAATCCAGTTCAGGTGATACAAAGGAAATCAATATGAAAAACAAACATCATTTTTAAACTTTGTTTATTTGTAGATTAAAATGTAATGCATTACAATTTTAACAATCACTTAAAAAATGATTTATATCTGCATAAAACAGAAGCAAAACAGAAATGTATGAATTAAAATGCCATCTTGCTTCAAGTTTCCAAATCAGTACTTTAAGTACTTATATGCATTGCAAGTATATTATATAAATATACTATGAATAATCTTGAAACTACAATAAATATCAAGTAGGTTTTTAGGCACACGGCATAAGAAAAATGCAGACTCTGCATAATTCTTGAGAGTGCTGAGTAACTCACTCTTAGTTCATTTTCACACATATATTTTACACAAAATATACAGCCATCACTCACATGATCCTCAATCACCTCTGAATCTCATCTTTCATCCCAGCATTAGTGCCTTCTTATGCTTCGATGCGCTTGCTCTATACAGCTATTACATAAGAAAATACTTTGCAGTTTTCTTCAACTAATTGCCTAAGAAGGTATCAATGCTACCAGAATCAATACAGCCTATCTACAAAATATATTCATGGAAATGTGCTGAGAGGCACCCACTTACAGAACTGCTCATTGTGATACTGGAAGTTACCCTGAAGGCAAACTTATAAATTTTAAGGTATACCATTTTTAATTGCCAACACTACGAAACCCAGAAATTATTAGAAACTGAGGTAACACCAGTTTTTTTTTATTATTATTATTTTTAAGAGATAGAAATACTTGAAAATACACCAAAGGTACTTTAAGAAAAATCCTGGCAAACATAGACCTCAGCCATCCTAAGATTTGTCTGCAATCATTTCTGCACAAATGTAAACCAAAGAATCCAAAGGAATGCTCGAGTTGAACTGACATAAAAGGATTAAAGATCACAGCCACGGAACACCTGAGAGCGCTCTCTGAGAAGTGAAGCCTAATGCTTCTCTTAGTAGAGCCAATGTTCATTGGTAAAAATGAACCAAATAAAGCCCATTGACTTTTCCCCCAGCTACAAATCAGATTCTGGCATATCTGGCATAATATCTGCCATCAGGTACCCTATTCCATACCGTCCATTGGGAGCAGTATCCAGAGTTGGGGATCCACTCTGTTTTCGATAAATATTTTTACCAAAATTTGGAGATGGCACATCAGTTGATGTTTTTCCGTGAATGAGGCTTGTATCGTCTCCCTCTAAGTTTACAGGCTCTTTCAGGACCTTTCCTCTCTTATAGGTCACAGATGCTAAATTACCGGAACTATCATCTATAAGGTTGAAACGACGAACAATGAAGACTACAGGGACGGGGAGTATTGCAAGGACAACCAGAGAGATACAAACAGCCATTCCCCATGGTGGATAGCTCAGAAATTCTTCAGATGCCTGTTAAAGTAGAAAATAATAATTATTAATAATCTACCTTTCCTTGCACATACATAAAATATTGTACTGGCTTCAGGTTTGTAAGCAGAGAATCTGGGCTGGCTTTGCGACTTGCTTTGACCAATAGGAAGCAGTGGAAGTGACAGCAACTTCCAAGACTAGACCGTAAAAGCCTTCCAATTTCTGCTTCTGTTTCTTAGAATGTTGCCCTGATTTCATACTGCTTGAAAAAGTTATAAATGAAAGACCACATAAAGAGAGAGCCCAGCCTCCTCCAAGCTGAATGCAACCGCTTGTTAGCCCAGGCAAGAAAAGAACTGGTCCGTGTAGCCACAGAGCTGTACGAAATAATAAATCAGTGTTGCTTTTAGCCATTAAGTTTTAGAGTAATTTGTTACTAAGCAATAGATGCCTCTTACATGTGTCATATATCTTTCTAAAATCTGAAAACCAAACATTGAAGCACATCTGGTCCCAATGGTTTTGGTGAGAGAACATGCATTTATGCCTTAGTCTAGAATTATTAACCATAGGATAGTCAAAGGTCAGAGGTTTCTCTTAAAATAAGCACTTCTATTTTACAGCTGACATATACCTCATGATTACATTATAATTCAGCTTGAGAATAGAAGTTAAAAGTTATTGCTAATAATGTAAAAGTTATAACAGAACTTTATTTCAAAATTTACTTATTTTAAATTGTATATTTTGATAATATATACTTTCATTGTTATATAGTATGTGAGATACAATTTATTTTGGTTTTTGTTGTTTGTGTGTATGGTTCATTTTTGTTTTGGTTTGTTTATAGATAGAATCTTTCTTTGTCACACAGGCTGGAGTGCAGTGGTGATCACAGCTCACTGTGACCTTCAACTCCTGGGCTCAAGCTATCCTTCAGCCTGAGCCTACTGAGTAGCTAGGACTATAGGCATGTGCTACCATGACCGGCTAATTTTTTTTTTATTTTCTGTAGAGACAGGGACTCTCTATGTTGCACAGGCTGTTCTCAAGCTGCTGGCCTTAAGTGATCCTTCTGCATTGGCCTCTCAAATTGTTGGGATTATAGAGATGAACCACTGCACCTGGCCTGGGATACAACTTATTAAAACATTTCTAGATTTTTGATTAATATATTTTCTAGAGTCAGAGGCCCAATAATTATTGGTTCATCAATGTTAAGATGAATATATCTTCTTTAATAATGACAAAGTCAGTGTTTCACACATGTTAAAAACATCCACAATGTATTTAAACAATCATATACGCTTGGGGCAGGGCACAAACGTAAATCTCATATACTTGCATAAATGCTGCGCCATTCATTAAACAGCAAAAAAATACTGTGAAGGAGACAAAAGAAAAAAACCCTCTAAAAAAGCTTTTTATGTACCTTTTTAAAATTTAATTTCATTATTTTGTGTTTACCTTATTTTCAATCCATGCGTTATAGCCAGGAGGACTTAATCCCATATTCACGATACTAGCTATTAGCAGTGATAATAGCATTAGAGGAGAAATATATTTCCACATATAGTAGTAATATCTGCTGGGAGCAAAGCCCAGCATATCTTTTAGGTCTTCCATAAACCTAAATAAAAAGAAAATATTTAATTATTCCTTAATATAATATTGCTAAATCTTAAAAATGTGCATTGTATTAATGGTCTGACAAAGGTTTAGCCATGGATACCCCATGACATTTTATACTGTATCAATGTTTCTATCGAAAGATGGCTTATAAATTAAGAAAATTTATAAAGTAAAATGAAGCCAGTTAATTCTTACACTGAAGATGTCTTTTAAGATTCTGGAGAAATTTGGAAGAATCATAAAATACTATAATTTTTATTTAGTGAAAATTCTCTTAAGCTAATTATTGAGTTCTCCTCCTACTGGTAACTTTCTATTCTATAAACACAATATTTTCAGTACATTAAAAATTTGTCTCTTTTTCTGTAATACAGGTAAGAATTACTAAAAGGAATTATTTAGAAATTATTACTTTTAGTAATTATTCCTTATTAAGGAATATGAAGTAACTATATATTAAGGAATCATGATTATGTTATTAATACTATTCTATTAAAGAATTATTACTTTCAGGGGCCGGGCGCGGTGGCTCACGCCTGTAATCCCGGCACTTTGGGAGGCCGAGGCGGGTGGATCACGAGGTCAAGAGATCAAGACCATCCTGGTCAACACGGTGAAACCCCGTCTCTACTAAAACTACAAAAAATCAGCTGGGCATGGTGGTGCGTGCCTGTAATCCCAGCGACTCAGGAGGCTGGGGCAGGAGAATTGCCTGAACCCGGGAGGCGGAGGTTGCGGTGAGACGAGATCGCGCCATTGCACTCCAGCCTGGGTAACAAGAGCGAAACTCCGTCTCAAAAAAAAAAAAAAAAGAATTATTACTTTCAGTAATAATTATTTTTCAGTAAATACTAGTTTTACTAATTATTACTTTTACTAATAATTTTGCTATTACTTTTAGTAATAATTAGCAAAAGTAATAATTTATTAATATCACAGTATTAAAAGTATAGTTATAATTCCTTAATATCATCAAACATACCTAAGTGATGTTTGTATTTACTGAAGTCTCACTTGTTTTTACAGTCTGAATTTTTTAAAAGGTCTACATATAGTACCTAATTGCTATGTCTCTCGAGTCCTTTCCTTTCTTATTTTTCTTTTCTTTTCCTTCCTTCCTTCCTCCTCCCTCCTTCCCTCCCTCCCTCCCTTTCTCTTTTCTTTCTTTCTTTCTTTCTTTCTTTCTTTCTTTCTTTCTTTCTTTCTTTCTTTCTTTCTTTCTTTTCCTTTCTTTCTTTCTTTCTCTTTCTTTCTTTTTCTTTCTTTCTTTCTTTCCCTCTCTCTTCCTTTCTTTCCTCTTTCTTTCTTTTTCTCTTTCTCTTTCTTTTCTTTTCTTTTTTCTTTTCTTTTCTTTTCTTCCTTCTTTCTTTCTTTTTTGAGACAGTCTCACCTGTTTCCCAGGCTGGAATACAGTGGCACATTCTCAACTCACTGCAACCTTGGCTTCCCAAGTTCAAGCAATTCTCCTGTCTCAGCCTCCTGAGTAGCTGGGATTACAGGTGCCACCACCACCCCTGGCTAATTTTTGTATTTTTAAGTAGAGATGGCATTTCACCTTGTTGGTCAGGCTGGTCTTGAACTCCTGACCTCAAGTGATCTGCCCACCTCAGCCTCCCAAAGTGTTGGAATTACAGGCATGGGGCACCACGCCCAGCCCAGTCTTAATCTCTATGTTTCTCCTCCCTTTTGTGTTTCTTCCAAGTTGCTCCAGAATCTTAAAGGACATCTTCAATGTAAGAATTCTATGCCTGCCCTTTAGACAAAATACAAATTTGAAGAACAAGAGACCTCATTTCAAATCACAGTTCTGTGTTCTTTTGATGTATATTTTAATCTCTCTAAGCTTCATTTTTGGTATTTTGCAAAAAGATAATATAATACCCACCTTTGAGGGTTATTGTTAGAACCATAAACAATGAACTATCTCACATATGGTACAAAATCAATAGATGCATCTATTAGTAGGAGTATTTTTTCTTCTGTTGTTATAAATAGTGTTATTCAGGAATACTAGCTATTAAAAATGGAGATTCTTTAGTAAGTCTGTCATAAATAATGAACTGTCTAAAAGGAAATCTAAATTACAAATGTATTCACAGATCCGTCCAATAACAATATCAAATTCCACCATGGTACAGGTTAGGAGTGTTGAGTAGCCTAGCAGAGTTTAGAGAAATCTGGCCTTGAAATGAAGGTCAAGGTTACAATACTGGCTCTACAGCTAACATATTGCATCCTCCTGGAAAAGAAGGAGCAGTAAGATATGGGTCATATTAGTTAACACAGAATAAATTTTTTATTATAGAGTTTATTTTTTAAGAGCAGCTTTTATGTTCACAGCAAAATTGAGCTGAAAGTATAGAGATTTTCCATACAGCTCCAACCAATATACATGCATAACCTTCTCTATTATCAGTATCCCCCATGAGAGTGGAACATTAGTTACAACTGAGGAACTTAAGTTATCACATAATTATTACCTAGAGCCCACAGTTTACATTAGAATTCACTGTTTGCGTTGTTCATTCTCTGGGTTTGATATGTGTCCACCATTACAGTATCATGCAGAGTAGCTTCACTGCCCTAAAAATTTTGTGTTCTGCCTATACATCCCTCAATCTGGCCCAACCCTTTCAACTGCTGATCATTTTACTGTCTTCATAGTTTTATCTTTTCCATATTCTAATATAGGGAATCATATAGTATTTAGCCTTTTCATAAGTGGATCCTTTCACTAAGTAATCTGCATTCAAATTTCTTCTGTGTCTTTTCATAGATTGATAGATTATTTGTTTTTAATGCTGAATAATATTTCATTGTCTGAATGTATCACAGTTTATTTGTCTGTTTACCTGCTAAAGGATATCTTGGTTGCTTCCAAGTTTGGGCAGTTATGAATACAGTTGCTATAAATACCCACATGCAGAATTTTAAGTGGGCATAAGTTTTCAACTCCTTTGGGTAATAACAAATAGCATGATTCCTAGATTACGTGGTAAAAGCTATTACTACTATTATGATATAGTACATGATTATTAAATTTAAGTTCCCCTACCCTTGCTGGCCTGGAGCTTTTGGCAATCATAAAAAACAGTCTCTAAGCTTTGTTATACTGCTCATTCAATACCAACAATATTCTTTATGTTTCTTAAAAGGACTTTGGTCTTCACTTAAGGTGCTTTTGTTACTACTTTACATAGAGCTGTAATAAGCTTGGTGATTTTATTACCTCTCAGTCCATATATGTGATTAGAGACAGTAGCTATAGAAAGTATTGAACAAATCCTCCAAAGATCTTTTCCCTTGAGATTACTCTGATGCTTCATGTCATATCAAATAATTCAAAGGTTTGAACAATGAACCTGATTGATGTGAAAACTATATGTATTTGATATGAATTTATGAATAGTGAATTTGTTCACTGTTAATGCATATAGTGAATTTAAGTAATGACTCCACGTAAATATAATGTTTGTGTACAACAGATGACATATACATCTCAGAGCTGGGAAAATATCATTACCCAATATTGTTCTGCTATATAAAGCATTGTGACACAAGCACTCCTCTCATAAAATAATTTAGCAAAATAACTAGGAGATAAGCTTTAGAGTTAAGTAGAAATGGCTATGAGTCCCAGGTCTGCTGCTGTCCAGGTGGGTGATGGGCAAGTTCACAGGGTATCTCTCTAAGGTTGATTTTCTTTATCTGTGAAATGCAGATAACAACTCAAAAGAACGTAAGGTTCTTTGAACACTGCCGATAATTACTAGATCCTGAGAATTACTGTTTAATAACAAGGACTAAATCAAAGCTCTAAAATTCTACACACTATTACATCCTATACGATTCTACTTACCCAATAGGAGAATCTACCAAAATTTTGAATCAATAAGAGCCTGTAAAATATTTGATTTTAAAAAGAATTGCTCCCTCTGTTCATTTCTTTCTTCTTCTAAATGAAAAGAATAATAATAATTGATGTTTTCAAAATAGAGATAAAAGTGAATACATAAAAGCAAATATACTTACTTATCTATACCATAAACAAAGCATACAGCAATATTCTCCAAAATTACTACAATTAGCAGAGGCAATGTAGCAGAATAATCATCAAACATTGTAACGAAGTAATTTCCAGAGCGTTGCACAAATATCAGGCCAATACAAAATGCCAGAAGACAACAGATGACTAGACAAAAGAAACAAAATGAAAAATGAGATTCTATTCTGAGCCAAGTTCTTTGAATGCTATTATAAATTATTATATTCAAACTTTTAAAACTTTTATAACATGACCATCATATAAACAGGGAATACCTTTCCTGATACATGGCATACAACATATTAGGAATTAAGTTACCTGGGTGTGACCACAACAGTCATACAAATTTATTCTAACACAGCAATTTATTTACCTGAGTCTGTGAAAACTCATTTATAAGTACAATAACAAATGAGACAAAATTTAGAGAAAATTTTAAAAGTATAAATTTCCATACTCTATTTCTGTAATTAATAGCAAAGTGACTTCTTCAGGGAGCAAATATTCATAGGTCATTTCTTCCTTTAATAATGTTACATAGTGTTGAAATAGATACAAAATTTTTTAATTAATGAGACTAATGAAGTTTATAAGATTATGAAACATATATATTAACTATTTGATTGAAATAAGTTACTTTTAAAGCATAACTGGAAAAATCTGACCAGACTTAACCTCAGCATCAATCCACATTTATATCTTTTATCTTTGACTGAACAGGTTAGTTTGGAAACAAATTATAATGGAGTTGAGCAATCTGATCATTCAAATAACATCTAAGAAAAATTATCAAAAAACTTTCCCCAGTAATATCTAAGAAACAGATGCATAGATTTCTGACTAGCTACTCCTTAGAGAAGTCTTTGAAACGCATATGGTATTTCCATATTTTTGTTAGACTCTTCATTCTTTTGTGCTTATTAGCAGAGAAGCCCTCAAAATTCATAGATTACTACATTCCATTTCTCAACCACACTTTGGCAGAGGTGAGTAAACTTGAAAGAAGTAGAATAGTAATGGCAGCTAAGGAAAAAAGACATCCATGTATTCAATCATATGAGTGTAGTGTTCCCTAACAATTTCAGCAAGTATGTGTTACATGAAGAAATTATCTCCATCTCTTAAGTACTATCCTAGTGCTGTGAGTTACATCATACAGAAATGAATATAATATGTGAACATATAATGTAGAATTAAAAAGCAACATTTACTTGGATTCTACTGCATATTAAATTTAAATGCTTACCACAGTATAAAATAAGATTGCATTATCTCACTTGATTTTTATAACATCCCAATTAACAATGTATTGCTTTGTTTACAGATGAGAGAAATGATCCTGAAGAACATTAAGTAATATGCTTAAAGTCTCAGGCTGGAAGTAGCCCAGTTTGTATTTGCACCTAAGTCTGTCTGCCTCAACAGCCTCTGTCACTTTCATTATCTCCTAATTACACCACAGTATGAGGCAAATATTAAAAAGTGCATTATAAGTGGTACAGACAGTAAGAGTTTTACTGGAGATGTGAGGGAAAAAGATAATGAGTAATTCATTTGCCTAAATCTTACTGCACTAAAAGAGAAGAAAACACACCTACCAAAGAAAATGAGGTAATATTTCACTGTGGTCAAATATGACCACTACTTGAAGTATCAGTATGATCCTAAAACTCAAGAAGTGGGAAAGAGGGTGAATTCCCCTTTGCTCTTTCCAAATAAGTCTTCTAGAAGGAGTTAGAAAATACTACTTTATGTGATTTTCCCTTTACACTGTTACTTTTTTCTTAACCTGTAAGCCCTTTACTATAGGAGGGAAGAGTTTGGATATGGCAAGCAATGACATGAATACAAAAATGACTTTAGCCTGCATGTCAGGCAGGACACGGATTTTCGATTTTCCTATTAAGAAGTAGAAATCACTTTCTTGAATAATATAAAGCAGTTTCTCACTTTTGTTCAGCTGAATTGTGGATATATAGCTATCAATATGAACAAACTGCTGAAATTGAACTGTTTTATACAGACATACATGCACATGTACAAACACATACAGACATAGTTATCAGAGCAGCAAGCAATAAAGCTATATATTTCAGAGTTATTTACACATAAATTATCAGTAAATTTTTTATGGCTAAGGAAGAGCCTTGGGGATTTGCACAGCATTGCCCAACACTCAAGGTCATCTGTATAATTTTTATCCAGTCTTATTTTACATCACTTACCAGTATTGTGTCTGTACTCTTGTCTGGTTAGCTTTCTTACTGTTGCCTTCATCTCCATTTATGTATGTTTACTAAAGTCATTCTCTGACCCTTGAGAAGATCCTTCCTCTTTCCAACTCAGCTTCCGTCTCTTTCTCTGATAGTTTCATCATATATTTAGATGACTTAAACTCTTCTGAATTCTTACATGTAAAATCTATTATGCTCTCTATCAGTATTTTACATGTTTTAAGTCTTATCGATGCAATCTGATTTTAATTTTAGTGCCACTGTTTTTGGAGAAGATTTTTTTATATATTTGTATATTTCTTATAATTTCTTTTATATCCTTTAAATCCCTTAAATGGGAGTAGGATGCATTAAACTGGTACTTTAATAATTGTAAGTTGGATATATTAACTACTATCCATATTGATAAACCGTTTTATTTTGTTCTCTACCTGGAGGCATTAACTACTAGTAAATCACTATTGCTGCTGTATACGAGAACTGGATTTAGGTTTATCATTTTCAGCTATGCACTTTTTGGATAGGAATATTGCACCTGAACTGCTCTAATTATGATTATTGGACTTGTATACAAAATTATACACAAACACTCCATGAGTTTAGTGTCAGTAATTCATGATAATGACATTACCATTAATAAATTATAACAATAATTATTAATAAATGATAAAATATAATTTATATTCTAAAATCCATATTATAGAATATATATACAATATATAAATAAAATAAAATAAATTTATACAAAGTAAACAATGATAAATAAATAATAATAATAGACATTAATAAAACTCAAAATATAAGACTTTCCAGCTTTTATCTCTAACTTTCACCAAGAATAAAATGACCTGGATTTGTTCAATGAAAAGTCAAATACAAAAAACTCACCAGTAAGAATTTCTTTTCTCACTTTGAAAGTGTCCACAATGGGTGTGACAATCCCTTCAATAGTTCCAAACATGCTGCCAAGGCCTAGATTTACCAGCATGAGGAAAAACATCACTGACCAGAAGGGAGATGCAGGGAAATGTGTCATCGCTTCCGTAAAGGCAATAAAAGCTAAACCAGTTCCTTGAACAGCCTGCAAAATACACAAAATAGAACGTTAGTACAGAATAACAATTAAACAATGGTTCTATATATCAGTTACAATGAGGAGGAAAATCTCTGAATAATGGCCAGGACTGCTGGAAATAGATAGGCTCATATCAGCTCTTAACCTGATAAATCATGTTATTCTTCGCAGAACCTGGATTTAATTAGATCAAGCAGATCCAAATAATGAAACTCTGTTTACAATTACTAAATAGAGTATGTAATTATGTTGTATATACTAAATATTTCACAAGGCTACAAAAATGAAAAATTATATTAAATAATACATAATATTTTGGTTTTGTTAAAGCTTATGAATATGAATAGTGACTTATCATAAATATATAAATACGAATTATATACAACTATTGTTGGCTCATATATAAAGATTTAAAAATTTAGTTTTATCTTACCTCAAACTAGCTCAATTGCTGTAAAAAATATATATATACTACAAATAATAAACTTGTTTTTATTTAAGAGAAAACTGCAAATGCAAAATAAAATGATGTAAACAGAATAAGTAGATTATAGAAAGCCAATTTTCAATGTAAAAAAACCTAAATCTTTACCTTTTTTACTTCTACTATTCCTACCTCCCTGATTTAAAAAAAAAAAAAAAAAAAGTTGGGCTGATATGCTGGTTTTAATTCAGAAGACACAATGAACTTCCAGTCAAATCTAATAACAAAATGAATAAAAAGACAGATATTCCAATTGGGCGGAAAGAAATTGAATTCCTTACAAATATTAATGTGAGCTTATTTTTATAAAAAACACAAATATTGAGTTCTAAAATAACAACTTACTTCATCTATGTACCTATAACCAAAATTCAAGCTCAAGTTGATTGTACTGTCACAAAAATAGATGAGAATTTCAAGTTAATTGTGTTGTCTCAAAGATAGATGAGAATTAAAAAAAAAAAAAAACTTTGAACAATACATTAGTAATTATTTAAATATTTCCTTAAGGAATTTGAGGTTTTTATATTAATGATGGCTTTACATTTTCAATGAATAATATCCACACATGACTCTTTGGTTTCAAGTATAGTTAGCTATCATAATGTAAATGATTTAATGACTAATTTGTCCATTGTGTTTTACATTTTGACATACGGGAGACAGTGGCAGCCAATACAAGGACATTTCTTAATGGTGATCTATTTCTTATTTAATACAACATAGTTAAGAAAAGGAACTTGATCAGCTGGGTGCAGTGGTTCATGCTCGTAATCACAGCACTTTGGGAGGCCGAGGCGGGCAGATCAAGAGGTCAGGAGTTTGAGACCAGCCTGGCCAACACAGTCACTACTAAAAATAAAAAAAATTAGCCTGGCTGGTGGTGCATGCCTATAATCCTAGCTACTCAGGAGGCTGAGCCAGGAGAATTGCTTTAACCTGGGAGGTGAAGGATGCAGTGAGCTGAGATTGCACCACGACACTCCAGCCTGGGTGACAGAGCAAGACTCCAGCTCAAAAAAAAAAAAGAACTTGACAATGACTTGCAGAACACAACTATTAAAATGTCTATTTTAAAATTATTCATGCACCAAAACAATCATGTAACGTATATGTAGATGAGAGCCATAATTCTAATTCTATGTTGAACATTATAGCAAGGAATATTTCAGACTAATCATCATTTTATGATGAAAAATCACATTATATTCATATTTTAAATTATTGTGACTCAATGAATGAAATAACTTTTTAAAGTAAAGCAATTTTGATTTAACTTAATTTAATTTACCGTTTAAGAAAACATATTGTCTAAAATGAAGAATGTAAATTCTGAAGGCCTTAAAATGCCCAGGAGCTTCTCTGGGCATTTAAGAGCTTTCCTGGGCATTTTAAGGCCTTTTCCAGAAGGCAGTCTGCTGGATAATACATATTTTAACTGAATGATAAGTATTTTATTGCTCAAACATGGCACACTAACTTTATTTAGCTCTTCTTCAATTTGACAGGGATTGAGATGTAGAGCAGGAAACTCTTCTTCTTTCACTTTTTGAATGATGTCATAAACTAAATGATAATCTTCCGTGGTAACAGCTGAAAGGTTGATATGATGGGGAATAATATCCTCACTAATGTTTCCCATTTTCAAAAATTTTATGAACATCTCTGAATTTCTGAAAAAAAAAAAAAAAAAAAAAACATATGAAGGAACATATACGAGTTCATTGGTGTATAGTTTATAAACAACTATGCCATTATAAGCTAATGAATGTGGAATGTTCCCAGCACAAAGAAATGATTAATGTTTGAGGTGATGACTATCCCAATTACTCAAATTTGACCATTATATGTTGTATGTTTCTGTCAAACTATCATATGTATCTCATAAATATGTATAACTATCATGTATACATAAAATTACAAATAACAAAATAAAAACTAAGAAATAAAGCAAATAGAAGTTAATATCCATACTGTGTTATGCATTTCTCATTTATGACATTTGCTTTGAAGCCCAGAACTGCAAACACCACCAATGTTGCCAGGACAGAGGTGAAAAAATTGATGAAGGACACCAGGACAGCATCAAAGTGGCAGTTGTTATCTCTCTTGTTGTAGCTTGAAAAGGCAATGACACCACCAAATCCCAGCCCTAAGGCAAAGAACACTTGAGTAGCAGCTTCTCTCCAGACCTTGGGCTCCAACATTATTTCAAGCTGTTTAAAAATAAACATAATAGAATCAGGTACAATTCAATATTTCAGAATAATTAAGTTTTATGGAATTAACTCAACTGTTTAAATATATTACAGTGATGTTTATGCACCCAAAGGTTATTTAAATCTGAGAAATAATATGATCTTAAGACTAAATAAACATTTTTTTTTTTTTTTAGGAAAGAAAGAATATGAATAAGAAAGTTTATCAGGTCTTTACATGGAGAATTTAAGTACATGGAAATTTTCTACTTACATAGTGATTTTTTAATATTTTAAGACTAATTATCAAAGTAAATATGAAATGAGAATATGAAGAAAAATTAATTATCTTCAATCATTTCCCATTATGTCTTTTTTCTTCCCCATAGCAAAACATGTCAATTACCGATAAAAGTTAGTAAATTAGTTCACTTATACTCCATGTTTTGTGTTTTCTAGTCTTAATCTAATGGTTGAAGCAGAAAACAATTATAAACTTGGTAAAGCTGAACTATTTGTACTTTGTATAATATTCACATATGTATTCTTTATTCATTCAAAAGTCTACTAAAAGATTTTTCTTTGAAAATAGAAGAAATTCATTTATATTGTCTGTAAGATACTCTTTCAGATCCAAAGTTCCCATATTCTGAACCTGAAATATCAACATACGAAGGAGCACATAAGAGTTTTTTGGTGTATAGTTTATAAACAAGTATGTCATTATAAGCGAATGAATGTGGAATGTTCCCAGCACAAAGAAATGATTAATGTTTGAGGTGATGACTATCCCAATTTCCCAAATTTGACCATTATATCTTGTATGTTTCTGAAATATCAGATTCAGAATATTGAAAAGATATTTCACGTAGTTGTACTTTATGTCTTAGATAATTATCACTGTTTATAATCAAAACTTAAATGAAACAGTTCAGATCAGCCACATGTGGCACAGACCTCAATAAATAGTTCAGTTTGATTTCAGTAATAATAGCATTTAAATTGGCATTATATCTCTTTTTACCATTACAATAAAATTGCCTTTATTGAGAGCAATGTCAAACATGGCTAAAAACATGAGTTCTCCAGAATTTGTGTCCTCCCTGAGTTTTAGCTTCTTCAATAGAAAGATCAGAGTAATAAGAAGTGTACCACTCACCACGGTACTTACCACACTCTAAAAATGCTCAGTAACTGATAACATATATCAGCTATTATGGCAAATACATTAACAATCATTTTATAGGGTTTACCTCATTTAATATGCACAACAACCCACCAAGTTGTTGCTACTATTAACTGAGTCTTAGGAAGGTTATGTAACCTAAGGTTACACAGCAGCTCTGAGGTAGAGATGAAATAAGAACACAGGTAGATTCCAAAACCCATGTTCCCTCAAATAATAGGATGTATTGCTTCAATTAAATTTAGTTAAAATCTATGAAATTTGCTTTTTAAGCATAATCATGATTATTTTCATAATTTATCAATTAACATATGCATATTGTTTATTGACCATTGCTACATTGTATTCTATTAAAATAATCTCAACTGTCTATCTCTACTTTACCCACTAGATGGCAGGAAACACATATTTACTAAAGACATTACTAGGATCCCTTTCAATTTCTGAACTAAAATCTCTGCTCACTGTTTCAGGAGTATTTGATGTGCTTACATACTTTCTCACCTACGTAAAAATGGAAATTTTAAAAAATTTACAACTACTTCTCATATTGACTATCACATCCTACAGAAATGTAATACAGAGTCTTATCAACACTCAATAAAAAGTTAGCCAAAGGAAAATTAACACTGTAATAGTGACCCCTAGTCCAGGTCAAAAATGTTAATTCATGCTGTAGTTTTCAGTACTGAGGCTATATATAATTATTATATCAAAGCATTGAAATTCTAAAATATTTAGTTAAACTAAATGTTTAGAATTTTGTCACAAGCAATTGCCAATTTAGAAAGAGAATGTATTCTAAAATTTCACACAGAATTTTGTTGTCTTGAACTCAGAAAACATTTTTTTTTTAAACATATAAGTTTTTTTGGTCATTAAGTATGGCCCATTTGAAGCAGATTTAAATTATAGTGTGGCTGAAACTCATAAATCTTAACTAGTTGTTCACAGAGAAGTTCCAAGAACTCTAAATGTTAAATAGGACTTTTAAAGTAGCTGCGAAAACCAGACACCAGTGTCAGCATTTTTGCTACTACAGAATGAATACCAACTCAGAGCCAGACACACAAAGAACACAGCTTTTTTTACGCAGTATCAAGGCAGCTGCCAGGAGTGACAAAGAATTCCAGAGAAGCTAATCCCTTCTGCCCAAATCTCACAGCTCCTTGCTGGCTGCACATTCATCCTTCAGATAACTTTTAATTTCTAAACTAATTTTGAAATCATATCTTTAGACAGTTTCATCTTTATGTCTGCCTATAATACAATTAGCAAACTAATAGTGGGGTGCAACTTGATTTCAGTGAATAACATGTATGTATATATATATATATATATATATATATATATATATACATACACACACTCAACAACTTGTTTCCTGTTAAATCAATATAAGAAGTTATGATTAAGTCCACAGTTATGATTAACCAGGATTTAAATGTGCCCAGTGTTGAGTTTAGCTCTACTAAGTTGCATGATAGATTATAAGTTCTAAGTCCTTGATGGAGTCTAAAGAGAATTTTACTAAAATATACATATTTTTCTAACATCTATAGAAGTTACGTCATTTCACAAGCTGATCATTATAAATATTCTTCCAGAAGATACAAAACCTCAAAAAAAATTAACTAAGAAAAGAAAACACTGATTTTTCTCTGAGAGAGTAATTTAGGTTTCTTAATCTGAGTTCATGGATTCTAGATGATTGGTCAACTTCTGGAGCCATTAAACAAATTATTATGATCATTATTTTTTGGGTAAGAAAATCCTTGTCATTTTTTCAAGAGGGTCCATGACACACAAAAAAAGGTAAAAAACATTGGAATAGAGGGGAAAGACTAAATGAAGACTGAAAAACTATAAAGTTTAATCAGTATAAAAATTGGAAATGCATTTATTACAAAAGAGGGACTTTTGAAGCTGAAATACTGGTAGTCTTACTGTAAAATCAAAATGGAATATTAAAAAATGGAGATAAATGGATATAATTATGTTTTTCTAGACTGGTTAACAACTATAATATAAAAGTTTAATGTGCATATATTAGAACAATTAGTCCTTAAATATCCTTAAATATTTTAACAAGAAATATAATGCTTTCATGATCATAAGCTTTAAATAGAAATACGGTACATACCCTAGGGGTAAACATGTGGCGAATTCCATCAATTGAACCATTTAAAAGGAATGCTCTGATTAAGAAGCATATAAGTACCACATATGGAAACAGAGAACTAAAATATACGATCTGCAAAGAAAGAAAAATAAAAATAAGTGAGATGCAATGACAACTATATATTTTATAGCTAAGATTGTATATATTATATTTCCTGTTCTGTACTTTGACAGTCACTGTTTCATGCATGGAATGATTAATAAAACTATTAATAACTTCTAAAGCCATCTTTTAAGAATGCTTTATGAGTCATCATTCAGTCTTAAGATCCTATTTAAGATATAATTTAAAATTTTAAAAACTATCTCCTGTGAAAGAAATCCATAAGCTACGGTGTAGCTTGAATAATGTTGATTCCTTATAGTTTGTAAAACAAGCAATATTTAAGACAGAAATGAACAGGACTAACTACCTAGCAAATTCCTGCTTTTTTTTGGTTCTATGTAGCAAATTAGAGTCCTATTTCTTTTTCTTTCTCTTTTCTTTTTCTTTCTTTCTTCTTTCCTTCTCTC